AATAAATAGGTTTAAAAAAATAGCAAGATGTGGTGACATATGCCTGTAATCCCAGTTACTGGGGAGGTTGAGGCAGGAGAATCACAAGTTCTGGGCCAGCCTTACCAAATTAGTGAATCTGTCTCAAAACATCAATAGCAAACAACTTAGAGAATGTAGCTCAGTGGTAAAAGGCCATGGATTCAATGCTCAGTACCATGATACTGATGATGATGATAATGATAAAGCTAAATAAAATAAAGTCAGTTAGCAAAGAAGACAGAGGTGAGCCCCTGTGCAATCCCAAATGTAAGAAAACCAAGAAAGGACAACATGAAGGAGGCAAAGGAAAAGGAGTGTATTCAGAGAGTGTGGTCAGTTATATCAATGTTGCTACAAGGTCAAGAAAGACAAAACATCCATTGGACTTAGCTCAGAGTGCCACCTTGGAGAAGCAGTTTCTGAAGGGGTGTGGGGTGTGTGTTTTTATTAGATTATAAGTCTTGGATTGGAACAAAGTTCCCCATTCATTTAGTTTAATTAATGTTATTTCATTGTGATAATAAGATGATCTGCATACTACTGAATATCATAAAGGCCAAAATGTTTTCCTCTTTTATGTCACTCCCTTTCATATCCATTCTTACAATTGATGGAAGAATGTTCTTCTAAGTGAAGTATGATTTAATACTCAAACTTTGGTTGTTTTAGATAATAAAAAACTATATCTATTTATCCTTTTATGCATATCAGCAAGCATTTATGATAGCACACACCTGTATTCAAAGTGATTTGGGAGGATTGCTAGAGTTCAGGAGTTATAGGTCAGCTTGAGCAACATAATGAGCTCTTGCCTCAAAACAAAACACAACAAAACAAAAAGCATATATAGAGCAATCACCAACTACCTAGACTTATAAGCTCTGTGCTAAGGGTATAAGTAGGGAAGGAAGAAGAAGGAAGGAAGCCCAGAAAGATGTGTTTGGCCTATATATATCTTGGTGAGTTAACTCTGCAAATTATTTTACAAACTTTTTTTTTTTTTTTTTGGTACTGGGGATTGAACTCACAGGCACTCAACCACTGAGCCACATCCCCAGCCTATTTTGTATTTTATTTAGACTTAGGGTTTCACTGAGTTGTTTAGCATCTTGCTTTTGCTGAGGCTGGCTTTGAACTCGAGATCCTCCTGTCTCAGCCTCCTGAGCTGCTGTGATTACAGGCATGTGCCGCTGTGCCTTGCAGACTTTAATCACTGCTCAAAAGGGTTTTATAATTAAGTTATGTGACCTGAAAACAATTTCAGAAAGTGAGCAGGCATGGCAACACATTCCTGTAATCCTAACAACTTGAGAGGTTGAGGCACGAGGATTGCAAGTTAAGGCTAGCATTGACAATTCATCGAGACCCTGTCTCAAAACAAAAATGGCTTGGCACATAGCTCAGTGGTAGAACACCCTTGGGTTCAGTCTTGGTACCACACACATACACACACAAAATTTATTTTTTAGAAAGTTCCTCCTTCTTGGGTAGATAAAAATCAGGATTTCAGTAGAGAAGGGCTTTTGTCTTTGTTGAAGGTCCCTCCCTAATTTGTTTTCTTGGTTTGTATTCATACTTTGGTATATATGTTGGAATTATCTTCTTTCTTTTAATTTTAATTTTAAATTAGGGTGCTTATTTTAGGAAAGGAAGAACAGAGATTAGTTCATTTTCATATACAATAAAAACTTCATTAAGTATGGGCAGTGCTAATTATTTATCATTTAACAAGGGTTAGGACCAAAGCTTATCTTTCTCCATTGCATGCATTATTAGTAGACCAGCACTTGGGTTCAGGTGGATTAATAGAGGTTCAAGTAAACCATTTCAAGCACATCTGAATAACTTACAAATTTCTGCTTTACTGATACAGTATTGACATATTAATTTCAAATAATGTTAAAAACATGTTTCTTGGGCTGGGGATGTTGCTCAAGCGGTAGCACGCTCGCCTG